CCCCCCCCCCCCCCCCCCCCAAAAAAAAGGTATAACTGCCCATTTTTACCCTAAAAAGGTCACCTAGAATTTTCGCGAGCCTTTTATCTGGCTAAAATTTTCGAAAAGGTAAGTTTTGATCCCTATAATTTTCGGATCACTAACCTTTCAGATAGGAAATCCGAACAGATAAAAAATTATAGGGGATAAACATATGCCTATATCTACCGTTTAAATACTAAAATACGTTCAACAATGCTATGTTTCAGTGGTTTTGAACTATATTCTCGTTGAGTGCCCCTGTTTCGTGTGGGTATTAAGGACAACAACAACTGACTGCAGAGTAAGTTTCACTGACTTTTTATTTGGTATTTCCTACAAATTTTAAGTTGGTATTTTTACCCCATACAAACACTGTTATTTAAGTGGATTGATACTTTGGTACTATCAAAGAGCCTGGGTTACTTGAGGTATTTATTTGGTGTTTATATTATAAAATACAGTTTTTCATGCAGCTGTATGTAACTCTTGTTCAGATGTTGTACCTTTTTGAAAGACTTTGCCACTACATGTAGAAGAATAAAGACTGAGTAACGTACATTGCCAAGTTTATATCATGCGAAAGTTCAGTTGAGATAAATATTTGGCCACACTTCGCCATAAAAGATGTTATTCACCGATTACTGCAATAATGTTGCCAGATGATATATCGTGATTTACAGGCTTTTCTCGTGTTCTCCCAACATCCAGAGTGGGTAATCACGCCGGTAAACCCATAGAAAGTGTGGTCTATTACTTAAATATAAACTGAGAGCCTGGTAAATTCTATAAAGTAGCCTGTTTTATTATTCACTATTCAGATACTAAACATTCCTTGGTAGCCTGTTCCAGGCGTTCAGATAGTGCGTTCAGCACAAAGAAAAAAGCCTGCGAAAACAGCCGACACATTTCGAGACGCCACCACTAGTTTCCCCGCGAAATGACGTCTGAGAAACAAGCGCAGAAATTCCATATTGGTGACGTGTTACTACCCAGATCTGGGTAGTCACACGTAATCAGTATGGAATTTTTGCAGTCGTTTCCCAGAAGTCATTTAGCGGGAAAACAAAATGCGAAAAGTCGGATGTTTTCTCAGGCTAAAAGAAAAGTCAAACAGGAAAAAAATAACCCGCGTTATCAACCCCAGGCGTCGAAAATGCCACCAGTCAGCAGTCTCGTTGCCTCCCTGCTGGTGAAGAGTATGGGTAATTACCATAAATTGCCGCTTACAAGCCCTGTCCTTAAACATCATCTTAAGGGATTTTCGGAGAGTTTATAAACAGAGGGGCTTATATCTGTGGGGGCTTAAAACAGAAATAGAAAAAGAGCTTTACAAAAAGCTATAGTAGTGCAGATCAAAATAAGTATTGCATTGACTGGCTTGTTGATTAAGCTTCAAAACATCATGATAACGCGTTTTCACCTCAGTACAGTTGGAGGGAAGGGGTGGGGGGGGGGAGGGGGCTTATTATCACATGTATTAAGACGGAATCCACCAGGAAATTGGGTAATAATATTTTAATTTTCAGTGGACAAAAACCTTTTACCAGAATAATTAAGAGCATATTGCATGTATTTTTTGCATTTTTTAAGGGCTAAAGATGTAATTAGTTATCTGTAATAACACCAAAGAAAATTTCTTATGGGAGGCAGAGGAAAGGAATGTCAAATTTCACAAAATTGCATCTTACACATGAAATTTTCAGAAATTTACCTGTGTTTTCACAATTCTTGTGAAATTTGACATTCATTTTCTTGGACTCCTATGAGAAATTTTCTTTGGTGTTATTACAATTATGACTAATTACATCTTTAGGCCTTGAAAAATGTAAAAAAAAGAATGCAATATTCTTTAAACTATTCTGGTACAAAATTTTTGTCCACTGAGAATTAAAATTACTCAATTTCCTGATGGATTCTGTCTATAATTCGGCCTATAATTGCAGAGGTGTTATTCTAAGTGGGGAGTTTATACACGTAAGCGGACGTTTTAAAGGGACGTGTTTTCTGGAACATTATATCAAGAACAGGAACATGTGGACATCAAGATGTTAAAATTAGATATTACCTAGTCATCCTGGAGGGAACTTGAGCTTCCGCCCTCCTAAAACGTGTAAATGGATGCGATAGACAGACTGACAGCCATGTTGACCATTATTGATTACCACACGATAGCCTTCCTGGTAAATACCCTTATGGGCTGCTACTTTCTTCGCAACAATCATACAGTGACCGAGAAGCTGGAAAAAAAAACATAGTCATACATGTACACAAAGCTGTCATTAAGGGCTGAACCCTTAACACCTGTTACTGCTGAGCTCACTTGATTTTATGGGTGATCAAAGTGAAAAGCTAAAGGTGGCACTTTAAGGTTTGGGGAGATGTTACGGGTGAATCTTCATTTGCTACGGCTGCTCTAAAAATTAATGACAGCCCTGAAACATTTGCATTATAAAGATTTCTCCCTCAAAACGACTGGGTGCAAAAAGGAGTTGAAAGAGAGAGGACAGATTATTAGGATCCAGAACTCCCCATTTCTAGCCTGATCTGCTATTCCACTTTTCCTTACAAAGTCTCAAATCTTTGGGCGGAGTGCAAGTATCAGAGCTGTCTGTAGGGAGGTCTATTATGTCTATGAAACTCCTGGGGAGGGGAGGGGGGTACTTGGGTTAATATTTGCTAGGTATGTGCCGCTGGCCTCTCAGAATCCTTACCTCAATATAGTCTATTCTTTGGCCACATTATAGACCCCATCTTAGTCTGACTTTGGGAAATCAGTAATTTTTGCCATCCCAACTTAGTCACTTTCTGTTTATGCATGTACCTTAAAAAGCCTTTTAACTTAGTCAATCTCAGAAGCATTTATTTAAACTTAATGTGATGTAAATCTTTCTATTTTTAAATCCCTACATACCTGAATTTTCTGACCCCCAAAAGCCTGAAAATGTGCAACCCCATTCTAGTATAAAAATGCAACCCCATAATAGTCAACCCAGTCATGACAATGCGACACCATCCAGTGACACATAACTATTAGCCCATTACTAGGAGTACTCCCCGCCTGGGATGAAGCTATGAAGGGGGCAGAATAGGGGTAGGGTCAATAGTTTGATAGTTCAAGAGACCCTCACAGGGAACCCAAATGCCATTACTCTGGTCTCATGGGTGTCAACATTTTAAAGGTTTGAACCTACATTGTATACAAATGGGCTAAGGGATCCAGGGTGCCCATGGCACACACCCACCCAAATTCCTGGTTGGGATAACAGCCCTCTGAGGGGTATTAAATAATTGACCCATCCAGTAAATTTAACTTACAACAACAGCAGTACCTTTATATTTAAACACAGCACCTGCAAAAATAAAAATCAAGTGGTAAATGTACTGAAAAAAGACAAAATGGTAAACATACTTGTTCATCCTCATCTGAAGTATCAGTTATCTTTCTTATTTCTTTCTTTGGAATAACCAGGAAATGAACTGGGGCTTGTGGATTAATGTCCTCAATGGCTATGCACTGAAAATAAAGTAATAAAATCAATTGTAACCAAAAGTACCTACTCGCTTGTTGCTATTTCTGTTTATACTTTATCCATTCCCACTTTATGGTTGATAATGGTGTATGAGGATATACGCTGTATCAAATATCTCCAAGAAAGTGGTGGAGTTGGGGTAAGGCATGAAGGAGAATGTCGTATTTAATACCTATGTTAACCTGCGACGAGGCTCTTTCTTTAAGAAGTGAGGGAGAGAAAGAACACCTGATAATTTTTTTTTCCACAGACCCTCCATTTAAAGAAATTAACATGTGGTTGACCTATTTCCAAAACATTAAACAATAGCTTTGTTCAGTTATTTGATTCTTGTTTGTAAAACTAACACAAAATTATTTCTGTGATAGAGTAAAATTGTCTGTAGAACAATAAATGAAACAAAATTACTGTTTTAGAGTTTATTTAAATAATGACAGTTGAACCTCCATGTGCAACCATGTCTCATTAGCGACCACCTCCCATAAGTGACCACTTATCTAAACCACCACACTTTTCCCAGTCAAAGCCTTATGGTCTGGTGTAATGTAGTTTTGTTTTTTGTACTAGGGGTACACTATAGGGGAGTTTGGGTAGAGACTGTGTGCCGCTGAGGTCTTCAAACCCTGACTCTGTTTAAGACAAAAAGTGGTATTTCTGACAATGTAGTATAACGGAACAGACAGAAATAGCCATTTTAATGCCACAGACCAGAGGACTGGGCCGGATAGGAGGAATTGTGGGTATTTTTTGAGATATGCTTAGTTGTATGTTTCAAATATGAGTCACTAGGTCAGCATACATTTGAACTCGTAACTTTTATTTTATTTGCCAACTTTGTTACATTTGTTTATATAGGCATTTGACAGCTAGTTTTTGCATACCTCTGCCCCCGAGTTGTTAGCACTGCAGCTGATCATGATTTCAGCAAGCAGGGGTGTACATTCCCTTTTTTTCCATGTCAAAGTGGTTTTGGGTTTTTGTATCTAGCGTCGTCTTACTTAGTTTCTTTCGAGGTTTGTTTTTTGTCAGACGGTGTTTTGTAATTAAGTGCATGTAATTTTATGGTAATTTTGTGACAAACTGGCTTTGAGGTCTTTGCTGACCTACAGGGCCCTGTATTCATTCTTGTGTGGGTGTCCATCTAAGTAGTGTAGGCAAAATTAGCTTATCTTGATACCCTTTTTAAGACAAAGACCTCATTTAATGACCCAGTATTCATTTTGTTTTACAGCGTGTTACGAAAACTAAGACCCTCGAAAACTAAAACCTAAGACCTAAGACCCGTCTTAGTTTTCGAGATTACGAAAACTAAGACCCCCTAAAATCGAATCCGTCGAAATATAAAGTCAAATTGTATCCGAAATAGGTCTGATCTGTCAAATTATATCATGTTCGATCCTTTCCACCGAGTTTTTGGTCAAATTTAACGGTAAATTTAGGGGTCTTAGTTTTCGTAATTTCGAAAACTAAGACCCCTCTTAGTTTTCGTAATTACGAAAACTAAGACCCCCACCAAAACAATCTCTAAAATTTCTACAAAGTCGAATTACGACCGTTTGAAGACTATAATCCGTAAGACAAACAAAAACTACTATCATACACGTGCTAGACGATCCGCTTCTTCTAACAATTTGCAGACATACATTATCAACATTGTGGCTTTAAGAAGAGGATGAAAGCTATAGACTACCTACGTATAATTGTACACTGAAAATATGCCTTACCCCTATAATTTTGGTTGTTTATCCTTAAAGTCATAAAATTGGTTTTCCACTGGAGATGGATTTTTGTCTTCGTTGCGGGCCGACTTGTCGCTGCGACCTGAATGCCTGATCTCCAAGTGGTCAACGGCGTTATCGGTTAAACATCACACAAAAATACGGATTTTTTTTTCCTTTTCTGGCCAGGTCATAGATAGAAAAGTGCTCTAATAAAAAGGGCGGAAAAAGGAGAATATGCTACATTGCGTTTTTCTAGAGTTTGTTTTTATCGTTGCCACCCCGAAGATCACCGGGTTACAATGCAAAGGTAGTTGAAGGGTAGGGGTGGGGGGTTAGGGGTTAGGGTTCGATCGGCTAACAATTTGTGGCTTCGCATCTTAGCGATTGTGGTTTCTTGGGCATAGAGTAGAGGTTAGCCTGTGTAGAGACACCCCCTCCCCTAAAAAAAGCGAAGAGAGACGTCTGTGAATAGCCTGTGTACAGACCCCTCCCCTCAGAAAAATGCGGTGACAGAGACATCTGTGAATCGCCGTCGTTAATCGTGTTCCCGTTTCTCCGGAATGTAGGGGAAAGCCTCTGATTGGTTGTAATGTTAATGTTAATGTTTATGAGCCGAGTAATTTTTCTTTTATGATAATATTCAATTCTTCTTTCTTTCTTACTTAACTTTTATTTTACTTTTTTCATTTGTCATTGTTTTGGTACTGAAATCTTCATGTCGAAGATAAAGTCAATAAAGTTGTTGTTGTTGTTAATGCCATGACGCAAGTAA